GGGCACCCGGGGCTGGGACAGCTGGGGGCTGCCAGCTGGGGGCCCAAGTGGTCACTGGGCGAGCTGGGGGCCGGTCACTGGGTGCCCAAGTGGTCACTGGGCGAGCTGGGGGCCGGTCACTGGGTGCCCAAGTGGTCACTGGGCAATCTCAGGGCTGGTCACAGCAGCAGCCTTGGAGGTCGAGCTCCTTTCCTAGGTCTGCTTTAAGGATCAGATCACGGAGCTGTTGTGGGAGCTGAAGCTCGCTGCTTCCAGTGGTGGTGTGGGTGGCAGGTGTGTGTTTGTGTGCACCACTTGTGCCTCCTGTGGGGAGTGAAATCTGTGAATTTCCCCTTCCAGGCTTTCCTGTTGCCGCCTTCCGATATATCCGCGACACGGAAGGTGGTGAAGGTGTACCAGAAGTGGATACTGCAGGAGAAACCCGTGTTCATGGAGGAGCCAGACAGGAAGGAGGACAGCCAGGATGCTGCTGCTCCCCTGGAAGACTCCTCAGTGCAAACAGACGGTAAACATGTATGGCATCTCTGTTCCTTACTTTGTCCTCTGCCCTGCTGGGGCTTTTCACCTCGCTCTGTAGAGGAGTAACGGTTTCAAGTGTGTGGGGAATTAAAAAATGCTTTTATTCAAAGGCTCACAGCTGAAATAGTTGCTGAGTAGTGCTTGGAGTGCAGGGGAGGGTTGCAGCTGGTTGGAGAGACATCATCTGTGGTGATTCCCCGTGTGTAAATATGACAGCAGGAACTTCATGGAAGAAACACTGATGGGTCCTGCGGTGCTAAAATTGGCTGTCTGCTGGCCTAGGGCATGGAGAGCTGTTTCCTTTTGGTTGGTGGTGCTTAAAAACTTGACAATATGCATTAATCTGTGCGTGCTGTAACTGGGCACCTCAATCCAGACAATTTAACTGTAGATAGGGTTCCTGTGCATCCCCTTTTATTATCCTGTTCTGAACCATCAGTAGAAGTGCACTGCTGACACGGTGACACTGTTTCAAGGGGAGTTTTCTAGTACTGAGTGAGAGGTTTGATTCGTCAAACAGCGAGAATTACAAGGTTTCCACTTGGTTTGGCAGAGAATTTGTAGTTTCGCCAGACTTAAATTCAAGGGCTGCTCCAGTCAGTGAGTAGGAAAAGCCGTGTAAAATGTTTCAAGTAACACACCTCCTAAAACTTTCAGGAGCCTGCAGGTTTGGAGATGAGGAAAGGATAGTCAGGAATTCCCTGTGGAAAGGAGTGTGTGCCACACCAGTTGCCCGGCTTCTGCTGCTGGGGCAGGGGTGGCTGGTGTGGGTCTGGAGCTGTGCCCCGTGGCTAACCAGGCTGTGTTTGGCAGCTCTCCTCGGAGCCCTGCGGCCACAAGCGCTCCTCCAGCTGGGGCAGGACGTACTCCTTCAGCAGCGCTGTCAGCAGGGGCTGTGTGCTGGAGGATGAGGACAGGGATGTGAAGGCTGGCGCTCAGGCCGCGCTGCAGGTGAGCTGCGGGCAGGGGCACAGCTGGCTCTGCCCTGCCCGCTCAGGTGGGTCACTTCTTGTGCTGCACCGTCTGCCACCAGCCCTGAGGTGCAGGGGAAGGGCTACCCGGGCTTGCTTGGCTTTGGAAGGCACAGTTTGGGCTCCATGTGTCACTCTGGAACACATCCATTAACCCAAGTGACCCTGTCTCAGAGCCAGAGATCTGTGTTCCAGCACGCGAGGGTGATTTCTTTCCTCCCGTGAGTAGGAGGAATTGATCAGAACCATGCATTTACTTTTGCTGAACTTCACTGGCTGAAAATGCTGTTTAAGCGTGTGAAGGCAGGAAATGAGTGGCTGGAGGAATGTCCACGAACACCCACAAACCCTGCACTGAGCCTGGGTGGGTCTGTGGCTGGAGTAACACAGGAAAATAAAGTGATGGGAAAGCATGAGACCCCCTCTGAGGAAAGGGCAAGGTTTAACTGAAGCAGCAAGAGTATTTTGCTGTATTCCCTGCCTGTGTCCATTCCTTGCAAACGGCCTGTCAATGCCAGGTGTTCCTGACCAACTCAGCCAACGTTTTCCTGCTGGAGCCGTGCTCCGAGGTCCCCGTGCTGCTGAAGGAGCAGGTGGATGCTTGCAAAGCCGTTCTCAGCATCTTCAGGCGCATGATAATGGAGCTGTCCATGAACAGGAGGACGTGGTAAGGGAAGCAGGGCGTCCCTGGGGAGAGAAAGGGGCTGCAGGCCACAGCCAGCCGGGCTGTTTCACAGGCGATCCGAGCTGTGAGCGCATCCTCAGGAAGCGAGGCTGTGCCGCAGCGGCAGCGAGCAGCTGCAGCTAGCACAACACCTTTTGCTTTGGCACCAGGGAGCAGATGCTGCAGGTGCTCCTCAGGATAACAGAAGCTGTGATGCAGAAGCCGAAGGAGAGCCAGACGAAGGACACGTTTGCTCAGAGCATGGCAGGGCTGCTGTTCAGGGTGAGTGAGTGGGGGGATGCTTGCTTTGCTCTGCCCACAGCTTTGCTCGAGTCCTGTGAAAGCTGCTTGCATTCCTGTGCAGGAGGGGTTTACTCCTGTTTTGCCAGCAATTGTTTTGTAAACTGTTGCTGGCAGAGGGAGAGCTGGGTTTGCCCTGTCCTTCAGGGCTCTGTTTTACCAACTCTGGTGGCACAGACAGGATGTTTTCAGTGAGCGTGTCTCTGGAGTGTAGAATTCAAGTAGCTGTTTTCCTAAAAGTCCAGCAGAGAAGTGAAAACTGAGCCATGCTGAGTGAGAGAGACATTTCTGCTTCCTACTGTCCTTCCACTGCAGAGCGTGGCTGGGAGTGTAGAGCTGCCCCAGAGCTCAGCTGCTGCAGTTCTGTGGGTGTGGGACACCCCTTAACACCCAGCCTGAGATTTCTCTGCATTTCCTTCATCAGTGGGGTGTTTTTGAGGGAAGGCAGCGCTGCACATCAGCTGTGCCTCAGCAGGCTCCCGTGCTGACGTACAGTCGCAGCTGTGGGTTGTGCTTGGTGCCCCGAACTCCTCAGCCCTGCCCGAGCTGCCCCTGTCCCCCCAGACGCTGCTGGTGGCGTGGATCAGAGCCAACCTGAGCGTGTTCATCTCCCGGGAGCTGTGGGACGAGCTGCTGGGCGTGCTGTCCGCCCTGACCCACTGGGAGGAGCTGGTCACCGAGTGGGCCAGCATCATGGACTCGCTGACAGCCGTGCTGGCCAGGACCGTGTACGGCGTGGAGATGACAAACCTGCCCCTGGACAAGCTCAGCGAGCAGAAGGAAAAAAAGCAGAGAGGCAAAGGTTTGTCTTCGTGCTTCAGTGCTCTCTGTGTTTCAAACAGGTTAAATATTGAAGCTTGACCTGAAAAATTAAATTAATGTTAAACACGGCTTGGTCTGGTGTAAGGACCTGTTTCATCAGATGGGGAGCACTTGGGGTTTGTGTGTTGTCATCCTTCACCGGGGAGGAGAGCTGGTTGGGGTCTGCACCTACAGCCAGGGGTTTTGGGGTAGCAGAGATGAAATGCGCTTTCCTCTGCTGCTGGCACTGGCAACTCTGTAAAAATGCCTTTCCGTGTGTTTTTAGTGGAGTTTCTAATTGAGAGTGTTCTAGCTGCATTTCCATGCCTCCCTGAAATCGATGCACATGGCTTGGTGTACCAGCTGGTTTTTATTAATAGCAAAAGTTAACTTGCGTTGTTTAAAGTGTTCGTATTTGCCATGTTTCCTCTCGTGCTTCAGTGAAAATACATGGCAAAGCACCCAGTGCCAGAACCTTTTGTGTCCTTTGTCCTCAGGTGGTGTTTTAGAGCCTCAGAAGACAGCTGTGGTGGGGAGATCTTTTTCATTAAGCTGGAAAAGTCACCCTGAAGTTGTGGAGCCGATGAGGTTCCGAAGTGCCACGACCTCTGGGGCCCCGGGAGTGGAGAAGGCGAGGAGCATTGTCCGTCAGAGAGCCACAGGTGAGAGCACAGCCGGCTGCTTTGGCAGCCAGACCCTCACACACACCCAGTTTCAGTCTGCCTCCGAGGGGGGCTGCTGCCAAAAGCAGCTCAGTGATGAACTGCCCCAGCAGAGAGCTTGCGTGGCCGTGGCTGGCTGTCCTGGCCAGTGTGAATCACAGAGTATTTTGGGAAAGTCTCTCTAAAAGCTTTTAGCTGCAGGGCGTCATTGTGAGTTAAAGCTGTGCACCTGAGGGGTTTTTCTGGAGAGGTGCATTGCTGTCTCTGTTGGTTCCTAAGAAAGCATTTGTTACTGTCAGGCAGATAACAGATATTGATGCAGCTGTTCCCTGGGAGTGCAGGGTAAGCCAGGCGCCCAGCAAATGATGTTATTGCTTTATGTGCTCTCTTTTTCTTGGCCTGCTGAGGTTTTCCTCCTCTGGAAAGAGGAGAGCAGGAGGGTGGGTGGGGTGAGGGCTGCTGGGGCAATGGCAGACCCCAGGCATGGGGCAGGTGCTGGTTAGTGCAGGCATTTCAGCAGCCTGCCCTGCATTCCGTGTCAGCGTGTGTCCCTGTGCCCCTCCTGGGGCAGGAGCTGCTGCCCTGCCCAGCTCCCTCCCTGCTGCCCTCCACCAGAGCTGGGAGGATGCTCAGGGTGTTCTGTGGCTCCGTGGCTGAGCCTCAGCCTCCAGCCTGGGTCACAGAGCGCTCTGGCAGCAGAGCCACTTCACTGTGAGTTTTATTTCTGAGTCCAGGGAGTCCCTGTCTGTGCTCCAGGGGAGGATTCTCTCTCCTGCTGCAGCGTTTTCCCCTTTGACACCCTGCCAGAGTGTCAGCAGGGAGAACCTGGAGTTGTTGATCCAGGGCTTTTCTTGTTTGTGTGTGTTTGGATTAAAGGCCCTTCCACACTTGCTGTGGATCAGAAATCCCTGATTATTGCCCTTTCAGTGTGAGAGAGTGTTGGACAATATTAACTTACATCTCAGGGGCTGAACCCCTGGCCTTGCTGCTGTAGAGCTTTGTCCCAGAACACGGGGCTCTGCTGTGTTGTGACACTCAGAACTGCAATGTTTCACTGTGCTCCTGATGTAATTATTGCTCTATTTTTTCCTGGAAGCTAAGCGAAGCCAGTCTATCAGCAACTGTGTCCATCTCTATGAGGCTTTGCCAGCCACTAAAAGTGTTCCTCTTCTGCTTCACACTGTGAGCTCTCTCTTCCCTGGTATCTCTTACACTTCTTGCTCTCACAGACTGTCAGGTACTGTACTTTAAAGTCATCTTTGGTATCAATGTCCTGTATATTTTTAAACTGCTCTCTGTCTGTTCCCTTTCTGTCCGGTGGGTTTGTCTCAGGGTGTTTGCAGCTCAGTGAGCAAACAGTTTTCATTCACTTTGGTATTAAAGATTGCCAGAGGTTGCAGTTAGATCTACATTGCCTTGTAGCTAAAGTGAAAATCCCCACCTTTCACTTCCTGGGAGGGATTTGTGGTTCCTGAGTCCTGCCCAGAGTCATTCCCTGCAGTAGCAAGAGAAAGGAGAGCTCTGGACGTGTTGCTCTCTGGCCCCGTGGGGATTCCTGCTCACTGAAACCTCTTTGGAGTGTTTCCATCTCCAGTTATCCCGGGGGGAGAGCTGAAATTGTTCCAGTTAGTGAAGTGCATCGAATGTTCTATTCCATTGCTTTTTCTAAGACGTTGAAAGTCGGTGAAGGCCAGAAATGCTGGTTTTTGTGCACACGCTCCTGAGATAACTTCCTGAAACACCTACAGTGCTTATCAATCAGTAAAGCAATGGTAAAACTTGCACACTGCTGGATGGAAATGCTGGAGTGCTACTGGCTTTTTTGGAGGTTTATTTTTCCCAAATGCTAAGAGAAATGCATTTCTATAAAGCGCTGTGCTGCTCCACAATCTCAAGAGTTCCCATTGCTTTACGGTTTTTCTAAGGATATTTTATAGAATTTAAATTGTAACTTGTGAATTTTACCCTGGGAATTTTAAATGCTTGCAAGGGTCACTTTTTTCATAGAGCTTTCTTAGGCAAGGAGTTCACAGGTGCACACACGAGCTCCTGCAGCAAATGTTTTGTGCTGTAATTAAATCGACAGAAGTTGAAGAATCTCAACAGCTGGAAAATTCAGAAGGAGCAGAAGCTGCAGGCCCGTTTGCAGACCAAGAGCAGCAGCTAACTCGAAGCAGCAGCACTTCAGATATTGCAGATCAGATTCCATCTGATTTCTTTCAAGGTAATTTTAATAAAATACAGCAATACTGTGTTTTTGAAGGAAAAGTGTTGAGGCTTGTTCAGCCTCACAAATGCTGCTCTTTCATTTCCAGCTCTCCTCTAAAACGTTTATCTCATTTTCTTAGTCCCTCATAGTTGGTAAGTTCTTGAAAGAACTTTTTTTTTTTTAAGAAGTTAGACCCCACGAATGCAGGATGTGACCTTTTGTACAACAGGGAGGCCAGAAATGAATCCTGGAACGTGTGATATGAATATAAATATAAATAAGAACTATAAATGGAAATATTTATTTCTATATAATACCATAATATAAATATAAATATAAATTGCTGAAGTTTACATGAGGCTTGCTGTGTGCTTTGGTCCCACAGATGTTTACAGTTCTTGTTTCCTTTCTGAAACTTCCAGGCAAAACTGCTGGAAATTCAGCTTCAGACTCCAGATCACTTCAGGAAAACAGGGGATGTGCAAAGGAGCAGGAAGCTGAGCAAGTAAGGCAAAGCCAAAAGTAATTTCTGATGGGATCCTAGAGGTGTTTTCTTTCTAATCAGGCACCTTTGAGCATTCAGGAGCTGTAGGAGGTGAAAGTGTGGGCAGTGATTAATCCCATTTCTGCTGTGCAGTCTGGAAGCGAGCTGTGGCAGGGTGTTGTCCTGCTGGGTGTGATCAGTCTGTGCCTCCTGATCTCACCAGCTGCTTCTGCAGGTGTGTCTGTTCTGGTCTTACACCAGGCTTTGGTCCTTCCTTAAAATATTAAACATCAACAAGAAGTTTGTAACTTTTAAAAGATGAATAATTCATGGCTATTACAGAGCTGCAGTACACTGGAATAAATGTTTGATGGTTTAAAGCACTGATGAAAATGCTTCTCTTCAGCACAGTTCCTGTCAGCAGCCGTGCATGGCAGATGTTAGTGTGAGCTGACGTTAGCACAGGCAAACTTCATGCATTTTTAATGGCAACTTTTCAGCACAGAGTTGAGACAATAAATGACTCAGCCTGATCATCTCTGTGAAACATGAAGGCTGAAAGATTATTTTATTTTTTTTTTTTAATACCTTGAATTATTTCAGGTGTGTTTGAAAAACAGAGGTAAAAAATCCTGGTTGTTGGTGTGAAAACCGGGGTTGTTGGTGTGCAAACGAAGGAAGGGGAGGGTAAAGGGTGAAATGGGACACCTGATGTGTTCCTGGGGACACTGACAAGCCCTTGGGTAGTGTGAATATTGATGAGGATGTGGTGGCTGGGCTGTGGTCGGTCTCTGATGAGGGTGGGTGTGGGCTGGGCTGTGCCGGGCTGTGCCGGGCTGTGCCGGGCTGTGCTGGGATGTGCTGGGCTGGGATGTGCTGGGATGTGCTGGAATGTGCTGGTCTGTGCTGTGGAGCTGAAGGCAGGAGGAGCAGAGGTGAATTTCTCCCTGCAGGCTCTGATGAGGAGGAGCAGCAGCACGGCCGAGCTGGGTGATGCGAGGGCAGACTCGCAGGGCTGTTACAGAGCCAGGGAGAAAAGTGAGTGCTGCTGTGTTTGCGTGGAGCCCAGCGCTGCGGGGCCGCTCTGGGGCGTGCTGTGAGCGGGCTGTGCTGCTTGCAGGTGAGAGCCTCAGCAGTGACACGTCCCTGGGCTGTGCCACCGACGTGGACGCGGCTCTGGTGGCCTGGCAGGCGGCCGAGGACGAGCCCGAGGCTGGGACAGGTGTGGATCCTGCAGCACCACGCTGGCTCCAGCTCAGCCCCTCACAGGAGCCTGCCAACCTCACAGGTACCCTCCAAACAACCTTACAGGTACCCACCAGCTACCCTCCAAGCTCACAGGTACCACAGCACCCATCCCCAGAGAGGAGCTCTGCTCCCCACTCGGCTTGTGGGACACCCCAAACGTGTCCCCCCAAACGGTTCTGCAGGCCTGGGGCAGAAGGGACCCGGACCATCAGGTGATCTGCTGGTAAATGATGGTCCAGAGAGCCACCTGAAAATAGCAGGGCTCCTCCCAGTGCCCAGGCAGTGCTGGCTGCTCCCAGTGCCCCCCGTGCTGAGGTGCAGCACACTGACTGATGTCTGAAGTGACCAGGTTCTGTTCCATGGTCTGAACATTGGGTCAGGAACTGAAGGCAGTACTGCAGGAATATCTCACAGCCCGCTTTCCTAATGGATACACAATTCCAAGGGTACTTTTTCATGTCAGCTTTTCCTTTGAAATGTCTGCTTTAATGAAGCAGCACAGCCAGCCCAGGCAGGGGGCTGCTGCTTGGAGAAGGTGCTGCTGGCCGTGGTGAGGATGCCAGGTTTGATAAATGGAGTGTTTGTGGCTGTGGTGCAGGAGAAAGGCACACCTGGTGGGCTGGCAGGGGTGTCCTGGCCCTGTCAGGCAGTCACAGCTCGCTGTGCTGCCGTGGGGTGAGGCAGAACAGCCCTGGCAGCACCTCTGAGCTGCAGAGCTGCCACTGCCCTGGTCTGTAGAAGGTCATTCCAACGTGCTCAATGAATAACATCTGCTTTAGCACCTCAAACGGGGAAAAAACACCTCCCAGAGCTGTTTTGTAAATACATTCAGACATAAAAGCATCTGGAATGCCTTTTGTTTCACTAACCTTCCTTGCTAAGCTGAGAGGACAGGAGGACATTGTTTCCTCCTGCCTGTGCAGGGTTTCCTGCAGGCACACCTGGGGCCAGGCTGTGCTGCTGCCTGGGACAGGAGAGCAGCTGCCAGCTCTTGTCATTGGAATCTGCACTCCAGAGTGCCTCTGGACTGTTCAATACAAACTGCATTCCCCTTCTCCCAGCCCTGCTCTCTGTGCTCTCTGCTCTCCCAGGAGCTGCTCTGGCTGAGTGCTGGTGCCTGAGCACATTTCCCAAGGCTCTTCAGCTCTGGGTTTTTATTCCTTTGTCCACTTGCATTGCCAGGTCTCACTACACTGTGAGAGATGAAAAAAAGAAAGAAAGGGCTTTTATAAACATAGAAATGTTACCTGTAAGAGCCAGTTATTGATGGAATAGATCCCTCAGGCACCTGAAGGTCGCTTTTAGGTGCATTTTGCCTCCCTGCTGAGAAGCCCTGGGCGTGCTGTGCCCTGAGGCTCTGTCACCTCTGCCTGTGTTTGCTTCCCTGGTTTTCTTTGACTCAGAGGCAGCTCCAGCAATGAAAGAGATTTGGGGGGGAGAATTCTTGTGGGGTGGAAGATGGTTGGGAGGAGTAATGACCAGATTCTGTCGAACAGATTCATGCTTAGGCTGCATTTCTAACTTGTGGAAATGGACCTGAATTGGAATTTGCAGACAGCAGTGAGTTCCTGGCTGACGACTGCAGTATAATTGCTGGAGGAAGCCTCGTTGGTTGGCATCCTGATTCTGCTGCCGTGCTCTGGAGGAGGATCCTGGGAATTCTTGGAGATGTGAACAACATACAGTCACCCAAAATCCATGCAAAAGTTTTTGGCTACCTTTACGAGCTGTGGTATAAACTTGCCAAGGTATGAGGTACTTCCAGCTAATGATAACGATGTTGTCATTAGCATTTCTTTGGTTGTGGAAATGGTCATTAAATGGGATTCCATGTTAGCACCTGGAGCATAAGCAAGGTGTGGGAGGGCTGTGTCATAAAGGAAGCTTTGTCTAGTTTGGTTTCCAGCAGCTAGCTCCAACAGAGAATCCTGTGCAATGACGAGAGAATTGAAGTGGGGTGAGGGAACAGTAGCAAAGAACGAGGTAGTGCAGACATAGGTGTTTGTGTTAAGGGCCACAGTGTGACTCCAGCAGGTAATGTTTGCTCTGGATGGGGAGCAGCAGCAGAGAACCAGCTCTCCTGGTGGCTTTGGCTGCAGCGTGGACTCAGTGTAGCCCCGGGTGCAGTGCCCAAATGTAAATAAAGTAAAATTAAAACATAACCAAAAATAAAACCAAAATCCTGTTTTCTTAACGCTCTTCTTTAACCCCCTCAGATCCGGGACAACCTCGCTATCAGCGTGGACAATCAGTCAACTCCCTCTCCTCCCGTGCTCATCCCTCCCCTCAGGATATTTGCATCCTGGCTGTTCAAGGTCAGTCCTGGGGCTCTCACGGGAGCTGCAGGGCTGTGCATGGAGCTGCTGCAGGGCTGTGCATGGGGCTGCTGCAGGGCTGTGCATGGGGCTGCTGCAGGGCTGTGCATGGGGCTGCTGCAGGGCTGTGCATGGAGCTGCTGCAGGGCTGTGCATGGAGCTGCTGCAGGGCTGTGCATGGAGCTGCAGGGCTGTGCACGGGGCTGCCTCTGTGTGCATTG